TATATATATATATATATATGTATATATATATATATATGTATATATATATATGTATGTATATATATATATATGTATAGAGGGAGGTTAAGGGGAAAACTCCCAAAAAATTGAAAAACTGACGAACACCCTAGTAATCATTCATCTGGACGTTATGCACATTTGCATACTAGTAATTGAAACTGTTTCTGGGTTTTTATGCACAAGAAATGAACGGTTACCGGGGTGTTCCTCAGTTTTTCATTTTTTGGGCTTTTCCCCTAAACCAGACCCTATATATATGTATAGCTACAGTAGATGAGCCGAAATTGCACTGCTTTGCACAACTAGCACTAGGACAATGACCTTTCTTCTTGTGGGTTGTATTCTAGACATTGAACACAATAATGACTTTACTTTCTCAAACTATTCATTAAAGTTGAGGTTGCAGGCAAACCAAATCATAAGAAAAGTTATTTACAGTGTGGCTAAAATTTTTATGATGAATGAATAATATTTTCACCAAGGTGTTTGTTTGGTTATTATATGTAGAAATTAACAGGAGGCATACTTCTCTCTAGAAACAAAGACTTCTTGGTGTTCTACAGAGGAAAAGATTTCTTGTCACCAGATGTTTCAGAAGCGTTACTAGAAAACGAGAGGCTGGCAAAATCTTTACAAGACCAAGAAGAGCAAGCGCGGTTGAGAGCCGCGACTTTTCTCATACCGAGAGTTGAAACACAAAACCACTCAGGATCCGCTGGTACCCTCAGTGAGACTCTCGATGCAAATGCTAGGTGGGCGAAAAGACTGGATGGTAATCACAAACAAAAAGTGCTTCAAGAAGCGGAGACACTTAGACAGGCCAACCTTATCAGAAAGCTCGAGAGGAAGCTTCGTTTCGTGAGTTCTTGAAAATACACGTCTTCTTTTCGACCAGTTGACTTTTTGAACTGTTGTACTTGGTTTTTCATTTGAACTAATGGTCGTTTTGTTTGATGCCAAGGAAAGTGTCTATAGTTACGTAGAATGGACAATCTTGGACTAACTGTCTTTTAAGTATATAATATTTATATACGGCAAAACTCACACACTTCTCACCTTTGGTGAGGATTGATCCCCTGAACTCCAGGAAGATCAGGTTACCGGGTAGTCCTTGGCCAATGGTTGGATAAACTGTATAAATGCAAGGAAATCACTACACTTTTTGTCCAAAATTGCTCATTCTTGGAAAGTTGTTTTTCTTTTACAATTTCACGAGATGGTTTGTACCATTCTTTGTCAGCACGCACCAGGGGGAGTCTTAGTGGAAACAACCGCTATACTTTTTGGGGTAGAGGATAGGTTTGCAACCAAGTGGGACATCCTGGGTGTGTTTAGTTTGGTTTTACAAGATGATGGTTTGTTTGCAATGAAAAAGCCAAGTACAATAGTCCAGAAAGTCAAGATTTTTCTTTACTCTAAATCCATTGTAGATTACATCACCATCCTATTATAGGCTGACCGAAAGCTCATGAAAGCCGAACGAGTCTTATCAAAGGTGGAGGCATTTCTAAATCCAGTCGATAATCCCGCAGATCCAGAAAGCCTCACTGATGAGGAAAGATTTATGTTTCGGAAGCTTGGTTTAAGGATGAAAGCTTTCTTGCTCCTTGGTAAAGCTTCTTGATTTTCACTAAACATCTTTATGTCTTTCTTGGAGAAAAAGCTGCCCTACCCTTTGGGGTAGAGGTCAGGTCTGCCCCCCACCCCCGGGGGCGGACCCCACCTCCGGGTTTGACATGTTGGGCTCGTTTGGTTTGTTTTTGGTTTATCATTATGTCTTTCTCAGAACAAGAAGTGAAAAGATAGTTGTTTTCAGGTCGTCGTGGAGTGTTTGATGGTACAGTGGAGAATATGCATCTTCATTGGAAGTACCGTGAGTTGGTTAAGATCATTATAAAGACGACAGACTTTGAGGAGGTTAAAAATATAGCATTATCGCTTGAATCCGAGAGCAACGGTGTATTAGTGTCGGTCGATAAAGTTTCCAAGGGATATGCCATTATTGTGTTTCGGGGTAAGGATTATAGTCGGCCTTCTTCACTAAGACCAAAGAATTTGCTAACGAAAAGGAAGGCTTTGGAACGTTCGATTGAGCTTCAACGACACGAGGTATCTCTTTTTTAAATTCCACACCGGTTCATATTTGCATGATTTTTTCATCCATTTGTATGCCATCTTCATATATCATTTTTAGACAATTTTACGCTTATAAAGTCATTTGACGCATATATTATATACCTTTGCCGTATTGAAGCTGACCTTATTCTTGATTCTTTGTTATACAGGCTCTTATGAATCATATTTCGACTTTGCATACTAGAATCCGCAAATTGCAATCTGAAATTGTATGATATTTTATTTACTATTACTCCTCTATTCTGTTTGCTGGCCGACTCGCTAACGTGAGATCCTATGATCAATGAATGATTTTAGGAACATGTTTCAACTGTAAGAAACGAAGGAGATGAAGAGTTATACGACAGATTAGATGCGACATATTCCACCGAAGACGAGGATAGTGAGGTAAACGCTATATTCTATCCGTTCAATATAGAACAAATATACGTTTTGACTTTTGAGGTCAAATGCTCTCGAAGTTCTTGTGCTCGATATGAAGGCTTCTAGAGTTAGGGGCCTTTTACGAGCACGAATTGGTAAGCGATAACCTGGTAAGATTGTGGTCTGGGTAAGGCTTACTGATAAAAAGCAATTTGGGTAAGCACTGTCTGACTCCGTTAGTAACATATTGGTGGCTGACTCAGTCAACACCTTGGTTGGTCAAAAGTGTAGGTAAACAACATTCTCTCTTACTGGGTAAGAGCCTCTTATCCACTAAAGAGACAATCAACACCAAGGGGCTGTTCACCAAATGCTTACCGAATAAAAGTTTACCAACAATATTCACCACCCCTCACTTTCCTTATGGGGTAACATTTCTAGCCATCAAAATGGATTGTTGGTAAGCGTCTTTTACCCGGTAAGTGCTAACCAGGTGAGATTCGCAGTCCTTACTATGCTCACCCTAGTAAAGTAAGTGACAACCGGTAAGCACTTACCCAATAAGCTTTTGGTAAACGGGCCTTAAATAAATAGTCGAATGAGATATATTGGGTTTGTTTGGTTTATTGTGAAATATTTTAAAAAATAAAGGCTTACATGATAAAATCCCAATTGAAGTTCAAAATTAAAGTTCCACAAATGCTTTGTTTTATTGTTCAGAGGTCTTCAGGGAAACAGTCATTCTACCCTTCGGGGCAGAAGACAAGACTACTTGTGAGTGGGATATACTGGGTTTGTTTGGTTTTAAATGTTCCAGTACGTCTTTATCTTCAGGACGAAGGAGAAGATGTCTACCTTAATTCATACGATAGTGGAAACGACACAGAAGATGAAAGTGATCATAATCCTCATTTGGAAGGTCCAGAAACAGATTCTTCTGATCATCAACTAGTCGTTTCTGGTGCACTGTACTTGAGAATCGATGAAGGGCATACACGAGAAGATTGATTTCGTATGCGTCTAGTACGTCTTCCGGAAAGCTCGTTCATCAACAACGTAGATCAAGTCATGTACTAGATTATATCATTGTACATTGGTACTATGATTTTATAAAGATTGTCAAAATTCTTAGGTGAAAATGATTGTTGGAGGAACTAAATTGGTGTAAATATTTTGAAAACCAATTATTCATGAATTATTGATGATGAAATCATAAATATCGTGATAGATGTAAATGATGAATATTATGTATAATAAAAATGCATGATATTAAGATTTATACAACATGAATCTATACTATATTATAATGCATTTGGCTAAAACTCTTAAAAACTCTTGAACTCTTAAACTCTTAAAACTCTTAAACCCGTTCATCCCTATCCGATTTCATCCCATAACTGAATTCGTGTAACTAACTGCAGATAAACACAATCAAATACAGGATAAACATCTTATTTTAAATATAAA